CATCAATAAATATGATTAGTTGATGACCACCCAGCGCTGAGCAGAAAAAAACATCCCCAATAATTTATCAGTTGTCAATGTCTTTATCTTTATCTCTTCCTACAAAACAGTGGCATTATCCTTCTTGTGAGGCCCTCAGGTAGCACCGGCCCTCCACAGCTGAAAGGATTAGTTAATTAATCAGCTGACAGAAAATCAATAGGCAGCACTTTCAATTATTGTTTAAGTTGTTGTTCGCTAATATGTCAAAAGCAGAGATACTAGAAATTAAATAAAGAGTGATATGTTCACACTATGCTTGGTTCTTTCAGAATTTCTCATAAAGTCTAAAACCTAATAACACGAATTTAAGGCCTTAAAATGTCCTTTTCTTGACAAACTGATTCGACTGTAAAGTTCGTGTTACACTCGTAAAGCCTTCAGTCCGCTTTTTAAATTTGTGTTTAGGAGACAATTTCTTTATTAAACCTGAGATTGTTGGGCTGCTTTCAGGGTCATTTCACTACCTTTACTTTTGAGTTTTAGAGCAGTCTGTCTCGATCTTCCATTTTGTATTTTGTATTATGAAATTGCCACAATTTTACATGTATCAAGATGGCGGCCTCGGTGAGGAGCTCCCTGGTGCTGCTGTTGCTTTTGTTTGTTTGTTCTGCTTTAAGCCACTCTGTACGTCGAACTTCTAAACATCAGGCAACATACAAATGATCTTTTTCAGCCAGTTCTTGAAAACTGAACCATCTCGCTGGACATCCTGGTTCTTCTACAAGCGCTTCAGACGGCGCAGACGAGGGAAGCGGGCCGGCGTTTTGGCCTGAACAGTCAAAGACCAACCTTTTCCCAGTTAGCTGGGATTACACACATTTAAAGGGTTCATCACCTTTTAGGGGGAACGGCTTCAGTGGACAACATTTTTTTCAAAATATATATAAGCTACATTATAACAAAAGGGTTTGTTCCCGCTCATAAAAATAAATATTTTCAGGGATGCTGACAGGGACCAGGGCCGGCCCTGACCAGTTTGGTGCCCAAAGCAAGACTGTAGGTGGCGCCCCCGAGCATCACAGTGAATTTCACTCAGACTTTTCATACAGTAACACAAACTGTGTGCACGTATTCAAACAACACACTAAATGAAACTGAAGAAACAAGTGACCTAAATTAAAAATACCATATAAATAAGGCTTTGTACAGATATAAAAAATGTTCTACAGCTTGTTTATTATGTTTTACTATCTACAGAACACGGGGCTGTGGACCACTGAGGAATCTGATGTAGAGCTGCTCTCATTTGATTTTAAATCATTTTTAATAAAAAGAAAGACGTTTAGTTTTGCTGTAAAAGGTTTAAGTTGTTGAATAAAAATGTGAATGAGCTGTTTGTCACTCGTTGTCAGTGACTTATTTTAATGATGAAGCTCTATAGAGCTCAGAAACAACCTGCCACAGGAGCTGCTGAACCAGTTCTACTCAGCAGTCACTGAGTCTGTCCTGTGCTCATCTTTAACTGTCTGGTTCGGTTCTGCTACCAAACCAGACATGAGGAGACTGCAACGGACAGTCAGGACTGCTGAGAGGACCATCGGTGCCCCCCTGCCCCCCCTCCAGGACCGGTACTCCTCCAGAGTGAGGAACCGACCCCTCCTACCCAGGTCATTACCTCTCTGACCAGCTGCCCTCCGGCCGGCGCTTTAGGTCTCTAAGCACCAGAACATCGGAGCAGCTTCTTCCCTCAGACCAGATCCCTCATGAACAGTCAGTAAATCACCAAAGACTCCTGCTGCACTTCCTCTTGCACGACTATTATGTGCACTTCTTCAGTTTCATGTGTAATACTGCATTGTATTCAAACTGTTTCCTAATTTATTATGTGGCTTATTTCTGCTGTCACAGTACTTTTGATCTACATAGTGCTTTTATACTTTTGAATTCTATATTTATATTCTGAGGAGGGAAACAAAAAAAAAACAAAACTCTGTCTTGTTAATGTGATGTATCAGTCTCATCCACCACGCCAAATTCCTTGTGTGTGCAAGCTCACTTGGCAACAAAGATTCTGATTCTGAATTTTTTATCCAATAGAAATTTTCAATAAATCTCTCATGAGATGGAAATTAAACCAGATGCCACTTTCAGGCGTCCATATGTCTTGAAGTATACGTCCTACAGTCTTCAGATCTTTAGGAGATTAGGAGTTTTTGGTGAATGGAGAGAATGCAGCAAATTCTGGCAATCAAGACTCAAGAGTTTTTTGCTTAAGACCTCCTAAATTCAGGATTTATTCAAAAAGACTCTAAGACAGACACTTCAAGAGATATGGACGTCTGACGTCCGTGAAGTTTCAACAGATTCTGAGATGGTCAAACAACCACCTTTGCTGAGTTGAATGGTGCTTTTTTTTACCAGTATGGACTAAAATATGCTTGAAATTGCATTTTTAACGACCTGGACAGGTCTGTGTACTAATTAAGGGAAACACAAAATAATTTAATTTGATGAAACCAAAGTTACAACAGATGAGCTCAACATAAACTCAAACATGTGGATTAAAAGTCGGCTTCCACACAGTGTCCTCTACAGGAGCAGGTAAGACGGAGGTTCAGACTTATCTCAGTGGTTTAAGGAAACAATCATCAGATTGTGACCGAGCTGCATCTGAAAAGCAGCTGAAACATCACGCCGAGGAGAAGCTCCAGATGGAGACCACCTGGTTCTCCTGTTACATTCTGAACAATAACAGCTCAGACAGAGAACTGGACTGACTGACAGCACGGACCTCCACCTAACAGACTGCACAGCTCTAATGCCACCATGAAGGTAAGAACATCATCATCTTACACAAAATGGCTCCAAGATGAAGACTGTTTTGGAAAGCAAATGTGTTTTAAATTTTTTTCATTTTTATTTACTTTACTTTTTTACTATCGCTGAGTTAAAAAAAAAAGCAATTTTTCGTTACAACGTTTCTACAGAGAAATACGCTGAATGTTTAAAAGTTTGCAGTCTGAATTCATCCTCCACCAGTCAGACATTTAGACCAACAGATACATCCACACACGTCTACATCCTGCAGTTATGATCCTCGTTAACTTCTGTACCTGGTGGTTATTGATAACACCTGCATGCTCTCTTACCTCTGTCAATAGTCATGGCAGACACAGAAGCCACAGAACTCGAAGCTGCCGTTTCAGCTCCTCGTTGTGAAGAATCAGAGGTTAAACTCCCCAAAACACAAACCCTCTCCTACGTTTGGTTAACCAACCTGGGAGTCGTCATGGAAACAGCCTCACCCCACCCTCCCCTCCAGCCGCAAACACTCCCATTGAGAGGACAAGGTGTCAGCGATACACCGACAGAGGTGAGGAGGAAAGGTGTGAAGGGTGAGGGGGGAGGAGGTGAAGGTGTCGGCTGTCTGGTTGTAGGCGGGATGACGTGTCAGTCTACAAGATATCTGGATACCAGTGTGGGTGTGTGGACTGAGAGGACTTTCCAGTTTGCTTCATCTGGATGATCTAAACCTCTATCAGTCAACAAACTGACCACAACTAAAATGTCAACGTTAACAAAACACCTACAATACGTTTTAATATGAAACATTAAAGGTATTTTTGGCTGAACTTTTATAACTGATACAGCAGGTATGACAAGTTGTACCACAAACCTTTAATCTTTGATAGTTCCTTAGATATTGTCATGCAAACATAGTCTACAAATCTAATTTGCAAGTTGGCCGACAATTTGTTTAGAAAAAAAATAAAATCTTGCAGATACGATTTAAGTATCCATAGTTTCTGATTTTAAAAAAGTGCACATCAGAGATGGTTTCACAGATGGTTTGAGATGGAATAACTCAAATGCAGAAGACTCTGCAGCAACGATGGCGCACATAAAGTGAGGGACGGGCGATGTTTCAACAACAGCATGATGTAGGACACTGAAGTCATGCTGCTGCTGTTTCACTGTTTTGCAAATGGGGTCATTGAGTCAACGCTGGAGAGGAAATGAGCCGTAGCAGCAGAACAGATTCACTTTTTAACTTAACCTAATCTAAATTTGATCTAAATTAAAGACATTAACTTTTCTGAAATTGAACTGTTTGCAAAAAATTCTGTAAAAATCCCAAAAATTAGTGCTTCATGGCAAAATTCTGTTTTCTTTTCTTTTTTTAGGTGAACTGCACCCTGTGATCAAGAGAGTAGACAGATGTGGAAAATAATAAATGTACATGACAGAATATCTATAATATGTAGAGCCGCCATTTTTCTTTTATTGTTGGTACCACCTGTGGAAATGTTGTACATTTTGACTTCAGATTTTTCTTTTTTTTTGCAAAATATTCCCAAAAAAACCCCAAAAACAAACAAAAACCAAACCTATTGTGTTTTCTTTTTTTATGATTTATGGCATTTATAACTTTAATATACTGCAGGGAGAACATGTTTGAGTTCTTTCTGCTTCTAGCCATGGCTATGCTGTGTGCAGGACTTTATTTTTTGTAGTTAAAAATGAGCCCACAAACAACCCCAAAAACAACTCAGGGGTTTGGAGGGTTAAATAAAATGGCCTTTTTTTAAAAAAGGAAAATTTCAAATTTAAATTAATCAACTAATCTGTAAAGCAGTTGTGAGATTTATTTATATCAAAGTAGTATTTAGTGGCAGTCCTACGAGCCTCTACAGAAGCACAAAGGTCTGTATAAAACCTATTTGCATCAGTTACATAGTTCTGGAGACAGAAGCACAGTTGTTAACCCTGTGGAGATGCAAGAGGACGACTAAGGGATCACCAAAGTAGTTACTATTAACCATCTTCTGGGAAGCATGAATGTCAGCACAACATGTCATCCTTCTGTAATTGTTAAAGCTGCTGGGAGAGACGTCCGGCAAAGGATGCAGTGAATAAATGCACCGTCTGCCCCATTTCTGCCCTCAGCCTCATGCTTTAGCCTCAGACCACATGTTGAAATAAAGTGTTGACAGTCTGAACATTGCGAGGAGACTCACCTCTCTTGATGTGTTTGAGCTGCCTCTCAGCCTCGTCCCTCTCCTCCGTCAGTCTGTTGCACTGCAGGAGCAGAGAGCAGATCGACCCGTTAGATCATGTTCCACAATAGACTGAACACACTGATAGCAGCAGAGCACAGTTCTACCAGCACACTGAGCACACAAGTTTTATTGTAAAATATTCCCTCGAAGGCAACACACGACAAACCTGCATTGAACCTTGTGAGCGATGGGCACTGTGTGAATTATTAATTTGACGGCATAAATAAATAATTTGTGTTACCTTTGGTAGCTGACAGGTCAGCCTGAACTTCCTTCCTTTACACACTGGGCTATTGTGTGATTTAACTTTTCTAGAGTTCATGCCAGCTAATGAGGAATGCACAGTCACAGACAGACACAATGTGACCTGTTTTCACATTTAAGAAATGCAGTAATGTGGACTTTTAAAATCTTCTCGGGTCCTTCCATTTGAAATTGGCCAAATCTAAAAAAAAAAAAAAAAGTTCCTACCAGAAAGACTTTCATTTCACATGATGCTGCCTCCGCCATGCTTCATAATAGGGATGGTGTGTTTGTGATGATGTGCAGTGGTTTTTGGATATTTTATAGTTTCAACAGAGTAAAAGAAACAAGAATCGTGCTAGAATCCTGGTACAATGGATTTGTTGTCCGTTTTCACATAATTCACCAGAGTAAACTTTAAAGGGGGCATATCGGGTAAACTTTGAAGGCTCATATCACCACGTGGGAGAGATGGTTCGTCAGATTCGTTACAATTATTTGACACAAGGCTCATCTTCTAGTAACTGTTCCTTTTGTATCAAACTCATATTCCAATATAGGCATATACAAATAAATTTTTAAAAATCAGCTGATTCTGAGGGATCAGTGAAGAGGTAATGGTAAATGGTTCATGAGACGACCCTAAAGAAAGGTGAGCTAAGCCAAGCCAAGAGATACAGCTCATTGTGTGACATCCTGTGACTTAACATTGCAAGTGCTTTATTTGAATGCAACCAGAGAGCAGAGGGAAGTTGTTGCAATAGAGTCTCCTTTGTGCTTAATAACAGATTGAGCAGTTTAGTTCTGTCTCTAAGTGTAGCCCTGTGATAGACTGGTTACCTGTCCAGGTGAACCTGCCTTCACCCTGAGTCAGCTGGGATAGACTCCAGCCCCCC